AACAATTAATACATAGTCGCTCCCACAATGGATATTATCAAAAAATATAATTTTCTAGGATTGAGTTTAAAATAAAATAAAGTCGACTCTAAAGTTAGCTACAGCTTTTAGTACAGATATTCTATTTAAAAGTATGCCAAAAAGCAGCAACTAACTTTAGCGTTGACTTTGTTTTCACTTTGAATATGCGCCATTGAACTTTGAATGTGGCAAAGTTCGGTGAATCATCCAAATCACAACCTTCATATCTTGAAATTTTTTATGAACTCCCGACATCTTTTGTAGACTTAATTTCCAAAAAAGTGCCAAAAAAGAATTTACAGTCGTTTAGAAAAATTAAACTTTTTCTTATATCTGTACGATTCTAAAAATAATGACCCATACTCTGAACCGAATATCGGCAAATCCACTTGCCTGCTGAAACACTAAGTCAAAAAATATAAATTTTGTCTCTATCGCCTTAAGTAAGTGCTTTCATTTGACGGACAGTAATGGCATAGTAAGGTTCAGCGATAATGCCGAGGAAGGCAAACACAGGTACCGCTTATGGCGCAGTTACGCAGGCGATCATATGATCTCTGGTCACAATTGTTGTTGCTTTCACTGCACAATAAAAAATTTAAGAGAGAACTGAATTGCATGACCAGCGGTGCTGCCAACTATTTTCGAATAGAAAAGGCTAAATTTTTCTGAAAACCCGCTAGAGAAGGCAACAAAAATTTGGGACCAGAGATCAAATTATCGTCTGCGTAACAGCGCCCTTAGTGAAGAGTTTTATACTTCTTGATGTGGAATCTATTAATCAACGTCTCTTTGAAGTTCGAGGTAGTGTACCTAGATTTACAGCCTGAAGTGACCGAGTGAAATACTCAAGAGGTTATTCCAAATATTCACACATTAGAAGCCCACGTAGTTTTTACGAGGAAGTAAGAGACTGCATCCTGGTGGGAAATTCTCGATCTTTGAAATAGTTTTTGCAATAAGTTAACCAAATGCTATGTTGTTAGATACGAATTTTTCTGATTTCATATTATTATTTCTTTTACAAATAGCAATTATCGTTTACGATGGTGCACGTGATATGGTATGGCGTCTTCAACATCCTGCTATGTGGCCTGATCCAGACTTGGGTTTGGTACAAGTACTAAATGATCGCTTTTTCATTATGGATGGTGTTATTGGCTTAGCTTTTGATGCAGTCAACGGAATACTTTATTTCCAACCATTAGCTACCGATCGGTAAGAATGAACTCAAAACCTGCTCCAAAAGGCATACAGTTTGAGAATTAACTCTAGAACTCAAACTGGATTAACTGCAGTTAAGTCCCGAAATAATTCCGAATACACATTCAACGCGAATTCACATAGGGTGATAGCAGCAGCACAAAAACAAAAACAACGCTAAGAAACTATATGCATAATAATGGTAAGATTACGAACAAATTTTTAACTACGTATCGTCACTAGACACGAATAAAGGCGCGCCATTGTTTTGGCGGCGAAAAAGGACGCATTGACGAAAAAATATGTGTAAAAAACCTTAGACGAAAAAAGGCGCGTAAATATAGATTTATATCTAGCCAAGGACTTTCTCTTCAACATTATTCTCCATAAACTATTTGTGGAGTATACATACTATTACACCCGCAAACATAGTTGACTGCGAAAATAAGTTAACGCGTCTTTCTTTGCCGTCGCCTAAGTTTAGCCGCCTTTCTTCGCTGAAGTTTTTTTTATGCGTCTTTTTTCGCGATCAACTTTTGAGCTCGCGCCGTTTTTCGTTTCTAGTGACGGTATAATTTTGACTCTCAGTACCAAGTCGTCTAGAAATTATAAGCTCTGGTAACATCACCTTATATGAATTCGCCTTGAACACATTGTGAAAAAGAAGTTAAGCCTTTTCCAAAGCAAACCCTTTTAACGAGAAAAAGTCTTTTTTTGAGTAATCATGTTTTAGGTAACTCAATTAATAATCGTATTGAGTTATCTCCTGCTTTGAATACTTTCTTTCTTCTAATTTGAATTTNAATTAATAATCGTATTGAGTTATCTCCTACTTTGAATACTTTCTTTCTTCTAATTTGAATTTTTTCAGCATCTTTTCGATAACCAAAGAAGCATTACGTGCTGGACCACGTCGCCTGCACGACGTATTACCAATTCAATTTCTGGGCAAAAAGTCATCTCAGGGATTACCACTTTACTTATCACCGCAAGATGGCAGCCTCTTATTTAGTCCCGTTACTGAAACCGCAATTGTCTCCTGGCATCCGCAAACAAATAAACAGGCTGTACTCGCCTACGATGTGGATGCATTACAATTCGTTGCCGATATAGGCGACTCTCCATGGGATGCTGGTGTGGTGTACGCCATGTCGTCGAAGTTTAACCGATTCACATTAGAAACCGTCAATAGACAAGAAATAAACTTCCGGCTGATGCGATTCAAATATCCGAGTAGAAGTGCGGTACCGGCACAGACTCTATTCACACCATCTAATCCTATACGTGGTGATTTGTATACGAACGGCCAACGTCTGAATGCTTTGAATGACACAGCTTACGAGATTGTCGAGGAGCGATCAGTGCCATCTCCTAGCGTAGCCTATAACTTGGGACGAAGTGCAAAAATTTATCAACTGCATGGTCTGCGAAACGGATTGCACACATTCACGGGAAATAGCGTTCCAGCAGCGGCAAATGTCTTTCCGCTTGGACATGGAGGTTATAGTTATAGTGTAGGACACATCGGCCACTAACTGTATTGTTAGTAAGAGCTTTGATTCAGATTTTTGTAGATTTTGAAGTACAATATTTTGATGTTAATTTTGTTTAGATTTATATTTTGTAAATACTGTTTTTTTATCTTGTTTCGTAGTTAAAAATTATGTTGTGAATTGTTGTACATACACATAAAAGAATAAATAAATCTTTGAAAATAATTTGTATTTATCCGTACATTCATAATTTAGCGACATCTTCAGCAAAGCTTCCCTAACTTTTAGGTCCTTTATATGCCATTTATTTATGCTCTTTCTTTGCTGCCATCCTGACTCTTCAATAAAACTAAGAGTCACCTCGTGAACTTAATTGCGCATGGTTCATAGCACTCTTGGTATCCTTTTTTGAGAGTACGCTCTTTTGTGGTAGGAGCACCACTGAAAGCTCATCATCCGTCAGCTGCTGAGCATCTTATGTTGTAAAGTTTGCAAGCGATACTGTAATATATATTGCGTGAACTCCACTGAAAATCTTCAGTCGATGACGGCTCTTTGATGTGCGAATTATCTTAAAAACGGAGAAATCTGCGAATGCATTAAAATCTTTGAGAAAAAAAAAATTAAAAAGAAAACTTGATTGAAAATATTTCGAAAAAAATTATAAACGGTAATATCGCGTTCGTTCTTACTGTTCCGCGTCGGTTCGGTTATTAATAGATATTTTCAAATATCTCGCGAAAATCTTGCTGACAATCCTGGCTGCATGTTGCGTATACGCTATGGCAAATCGTTTGGGTGTAAAATAGTGTGTTGTGCGGATTAGACGTTTAATTGTGAGTACCATGTGTGCCATATTGCTTTTTGTTTTTAAGCCAAGATAGCAACAAGTTAGCAGGATGCACCAAACTACTTGCTAAAGGAGAAAAATGTGATAATATGAGGAAATGGGGACTGATGATTTAGCACGCATTCCGTTAGTGAATATATATGTATTTACATTACATATGTACATATTGCGCGAACTGAATGTTAACATAGGATAACATAGGGCAATCATTTAACCGCGTAAATGCTTCGTAACCATGTAAACCTCGTAAACTTATTTGTATGGAAAATCGATTTATTTACGAGGTTTACGCGGTTACACAATATTTAAAATTGAAAACAGTTCAAGTAAAAAATAAAAATAAAATAAAATAAAATAAAATAAAATAAAATAAAATAAAATAAAATAAAATAAAATAAAATAAAATAAAATAAAATAAAATAAAATAAA